CACCTCCATGGCACTGACCCCAATTGTTCCCTTCTCAGTGTTATCACCTTCATCCCTCTGCTAGCCCTTAAAAACCCTAAACATTTCCCACTTCCTTTTACTGCCACCAGACTTCCGAAACTTGGAATCCACCTTAGCTCATCAGCCCAAGCTCCTAATTCAGCCCTCCCCGGGAACCACTTGCGGTTATTTGGAAAGGACATTGCCACCTGCCCTTGGGGTGGCACCAACCTTGCAATACATGAGACTACGGTCCATCTTCCCAGGTGCGGCTGCAGCAGACCCGCAGGTGGAGCCGGTGGAAACGCGGCCATTCAAGAGCACAGGCCGCTCGTGCCTAGAGCCAGTTTCTGTTCTCAGTAATGCCTCTCGTGGACGCCCCACACCACCAGGGGATTCACAGAACTGAAAGAGAGAGCAGAACCCGGCCCTGAATCTGCATCTGCATCTGCATCTGCATCTGCATCCCAGAGGCAGCGCTGACGGGCTCGTACCGCTCACCGCAGCTTTGTCGACTTGCCCTTTAATTGGACAGCTGCTGCGGCAATAGTAGGAAAGGGGGAGGGCGTGCAGAAATCCACTTTCAGATCCCTCTCCCTAGCATGGGCCCCGTCTTGCTGCACTCGCTACTCGCGGTGCACAGGGGCTCCCGGGTTACTCGCCTCCACTTGGCCCCGGCACGCTTAGCCTGCGGAGAACCGAGCGTATCTGCCTGAACATATGGAAAGCCAGCACTGAGGCCCTTCAGCTCTGCTCGTTCGGCTCTTTCCTAGGGCCAAAGCTATGCCAGCTATTTCCTGTTTTAATCCCAGGGGAGAAATGCATTTAAGGCAGCTTTTTCCAGACACGGCACTGAGACGTTCTGTGGTTTAGGCAGAAAATCCCACTGAGATCTTTTGCTGCTATTTAGGAAGCGGAGGGCTGCCGGGCAGATACCGTGGGTCGATGGGTGGGTTGACAGTTATTAGGCAGGTTGCACAGGCACGAGGTGCAAAGGACTCAGCCGCCCAATGAATCTCCTTAGCAAGCTGCGCTCCTGCAGGCTGTGCTACTTGGAGGCACGGGCGAGGTGAGCGGGACCCCCCAGGCCGTGCTTCAGGACTCCACAAACGATGGGAGTTTCTGAAGCATTAAGTGCTGGTCTCATGGAGCATCCTAGAGAAGCCCTTCCCAGGCCAGGACCTCTCAGGAGGTCCCGAGTCCAATGCCCAGACCCCCTCTTCCTCCACAGGTACAAAACGGTGGCTGTTTCTGGAGCTGGGTGGGCAAGTCCAAGCTGCGGTGAAAAGCCTCTGCCCGTTGTCTGTGGTGCACAATACCCCCATTTCTTTCTTGCCCCCTCCTCTTGCAATGTGTGGGTACAACACTCCCTTTGCGCTTCACCATTAAAATGCACAACCTTTAAAAGAAGCCTGATCCTTCCTGCACACTTCTGAACGACTGCAAGACAGCAGCTTGCTCTGGAGATTCATTGGGGGCCGAGCGCTTGGTGCTTCGTGTCTGTGCAACCTGCCTCCTTGCATTTCCCTCCTAACTGATGGCAGGGTGGGCTTGATCCCAACAGGCGCCAACAATGGACATGTATTGCCCCAAAGAGTTCAGGTGCGATGGACACCTTCCCCTTGTCCCTTCCTGACCTCCCTCCCATATACTGACACAAGCTGACCTTGCTTGAGATTACACCTTGCGAACCTCACTCGCATGAGAAAGGGCAGAGCCCCCCCAGGCACATTGCACAGCCCCAGGTAGTAGAGTGGGGCATCCGGGGGGCTTGGAGGAGGCTGGTGGCTGTGGCTGGGAGAGCAGAGACATCCTCCCCTTGGCCTGCTGCCCTTTGGGGATATCTGCAAGTCCCCGGCGGTCTGCGCGTCCCACCACAGCGGGGGTTGTGAAGGGCATGAGACCGACAACGGCCATCTCCATCCCACGTTACCCTGGTGAAGATCAAACTCATCCTACCCACCCTCCCGAATTCAGCATCACACCAGCCAGCCTGATTCATCAAGAACTGCTCTCCTTTTGGGGTGATTTCGGATTGTTTTGAAGAACAACTTAGCTTTTTTTCACGCAGAAAAAAAAAATATATGTGGTTTATAAGTGATCAGATGATGGGTATTGTTTCAACAGGTACCCAGGAGGGGACAGGGTCTCATTATAACCGCTGGAGCGATCAGCATTTGAAGCTAAGCATCGTGCAGCCCCGAGACGCTCGTTACAGCGTTTCTAAAGGAATCATTGCTTCCAGGAGCCTTGCCTTAATTATTGCCCTCGCAGGGAAAATGTCTTGGGGCTGTGTCGAAACAAAGTGGAAACATATTTGAAAACTAAACCCTGCCGTTGACAGCACGGAGGTGATTTAAAGTCGAACTACAGCCTGACAAAAAGGAATGCATTTTTCATAGGCATCTTTCAACCAGAAGGGCAAGCCATACGTTTCAAATACATTATTCATCCTCTTTATCTACTTTCCCAGGCTTGGTTGTTTTTGTTTTTTTTTAAAAAAGCCTCCTAGAACGCGATGCAGGATGTCTCTCTTAATTATCATAGTTTCACGGCATCACGAGATGGACTTGGAAAGAGCAAAACGCTGTTGCACGCGCACAGGATTAAAAGCGCCTTTGCACATGGCCTCTTGCTGTGTGCCCAGGAACAGGGGTTTGATGTTAGAGCTTATCACTTCTGTGCACCCCTCTTCCCCCTGCTCCCCAGCAAGAAATGATCTCAGAGGAGCTTTATTTCTAGCATATGGAGATCAGGTGAGAATCTGCTTCTGTCGCAAAGGGAAGGGCCGCAGTTTTGCAGCAAGAAGACAAGGAGAAACTGCTATATTTAGAAGAATGGTTTCCCGGATCGCCACGACAGATCTTTCCAATCCTTCCTGAATTGCAAAGGGATGCTTTCAGCTCCTTCCACAAAACAAGGAGGCAAGAGACAGAGAAACCAATACAAGATAGTTTCCTAGATAAATGACTGGCCGCAGGCCCAAGAGAAATGGGTTCGCTCCCAGACCCTGCAATACCTGGCAAGAGAGGAGAAAGAACAACAGCTGGGCTGTGCTTGTTCTCCAAGGCCCCTGCTGCTTCCTCTTTTGCAAGAGAAAAGAGGATCCATCCTCACCTCCGCCACTCAAATTGGGGTGCAAAATTATGGGTCAGGATAGGGCCCTCCATTTATAACAGCCAAACTAGCATGTATTCAAATCAACGTCTCTCTCTTTCTCTCAAGGTCTTTAACCTATGGCTGTATTTTATGGAGATTATCTGAGAAAAGGATGGTGTATTGATATGCCAGCTGTTAGCAGCTTAAATTCTGCTTTTCAGTTCCGTTAATCATTTAAAACAAAACAAAAAAACCCTCTTTGATGTTTGCCTTTTACTTTTCAAATCCCTGGTTTAAAGCATGAACAAGCCTATAGCACTGCTGGCATTTCAGAGCCTTTAGGATCATTTAATGAGCATTACCTGCATGTTATATTTAGGGGTTCAAGTCCGTGACAGGTGAACAGGAGCCCTTGGATAGCAACATCTCCCCAGCAGGATAATCTGAGTTGCGGTGACACTTTTACTTTTGATCACAAGGCATTTTTGCAAAAAAAGGAAGCAAGACAACTTGTTTTCCCCACCAGGCCCTCGTGCTAAATAGAAATGTTACCCTTTCCACAGGATGTGAAGCACTTCAGCACCTGATCGTGATTCAGACAAAACAGCATAAGTAGCTGGAAGAGCCCCAGGAAGTTGTTAATGCCTTCAGCTTGTCAGCCTTTCATTATCATGGGACTTTTAATATAGTCATACGACAAAAGTATCTCATTACTTCTGACTACTGTTTGTCTCACCTGGTCATGGCACTTGATCAGAGGTGGGCAAAATACAGCCTGGGGGCCAGATCCAGCCTGCCAGGCCATTTTATTCTGCCCATGGGGCACCTAAAAAAATTAGAAAATGAATATTTAGTTACTCCTGGCTGCCTGTCAAAGATGACAGGAGACAGGGGCAGTAGGACACAGAGGAAGCCAGCAGCAGGACCCAGCAGCAAGGCCTGCCCAGCCCCACCCCTACTCCCAACCAGAAGCCCCTGCCTAGCAGACGCTTCCGGCCTGGGACCGTAGGGCTGTTCCTGCTTCCCTGTGCCAGAGAGGAAAGTGTAAACTGTTGTAAGTGGCCCTCCGCCCAAAATAATTGCCCACTGCTGCACTAGATGATGGCAGTGGGTATAAAGCAGGGGTGGGGAAAATGCGGCCCGTGGGCCAGATGCAGCCCACCAGGCCATTCTATCCAGCCCACAGGGCCCCTAAAATACTTAGAAAATTAATATTTATCTGCTCCTGGCTGCCTGTCATGGGGCCCCCAATGACTTGCCAAAACTCAGTAAGTGGTCCTCCACCTGAAATAATTGCCCACCCCTGGTATAGAGTTCTCTGGGGACTCGGCAACAAAAGGACCGAGCCTACATAAGTCACCTCAAATCACCATGGTCTGAAAATCACATCAGGCATCTTATGAGAAGCAACAGTCTCGCTTGCAACCAGGACATTTTTTGAGTCAGAAACTACAATTCCAGTTTCAGTGGGTTTCACAGCAGCTCCCAAGATCCTGCTATGAAAGAGAAGAGGGGCTCATTTGATTTCAAATCCTACATCACATAACCTTTATGTGAAATGATCTGGTGTGGCCAGTCACTTTTCTTGCCAGGTTGGAAATTAACCTTCTATTCCCATACCCTACCTCATGAAGCATGTCACAGGCCAGTGCTGGGCAGTGTTACACCAATGAGAGGTCACCTCTTTGTCCTCCTGGCTTAGTGAAATCAATACTATTGAGACTGCCTCGTATGGGATTGATGTTAAGGTTCTGCCCCTATGGGCCCCCAGTCCCAGCTGGGGGCTCAAAGCACACCCAAAGCCAAATTGGGAATGTCAAAAATCAGTGAGGTTCCCTTGTTGTATAGGGAAAGACATAACAGATTATCTTTGCATAGAGAGACATAACAAATTATATTTGCATAGAAAAAAATCTTTATTTATAACTGAGGGATAAGAAGAAAACAACACTGCAATTTTAGGGGCATTTTGTTTGTCTTAAGACATCACTGGAATTTTGGCATAAAAACGCGAAGGATAACTCTTTTTTCCCCTCTCCATTGAATTCCTTTCCTTCCTCCCTTCTTGAGCTAGTACCTCTAGGCAAGGGGGGTTTCTTCAGCTTTACTTTATCGACAGAGACCCTGAGTAAAATATATTTCTGCGAGTCATCTTCATGGAACAGGTAAACAGTGGATATAATGCAGAACGCTCTTTCTAATCTATAATTATTATTACTATACACTGCAACAAAATATAGAGGCCAAAGAAAATGATTATAACAAAAGTGTCAATTGTATATATCTGCAACGAGTTGCATGTTCCCTCTTATAGTGCTTTGACGACCAGAATGTATGGAAAGAAAAAAAAAATCAAAGAAGGTCATAAATATTGATCAAGCCTTTACAATGACAGACAAAAAGTCTGAGGTTATGTTTTAAAACAAGACTCTTCACCATCTGATGGCATTACATGGTCCAGCTGCCCAGCATATAATAAAACATCCCCTGCTTTCCAGGTTTGCCTGGAAAGTTGTGTTGCAAATACCCATCAACAAGCACCGCTATGCACACAGTCAGAAGTCCTCCATCTAATAACAACAACTTAAATGCTTGCAAGAGTGCGAGTTACATCTTACTTTAAACAGACCCAATCATCCCAGAAAATGCCTGGATATTCTTTGGGAAATGGTGGCAACCATTGATCCTCCTGGATCATGGTGTATGCATAAGGGCCCCCCAGACCTTCAATGCATATGCCTGGGCAGGACATTTTGGAGGAGTGGGGGTGTCTTTGGGAAATATAATTAAGCCTAATAAATAAAGGCTGAAAAATTCCACCACAGAGTTTCAAATTCTCCGATGCTTGCACAGCTTGTAGCATTGGGCTTTCTTGGCTAGATGGGCAAGGACACCCTCCAACTGCAATGCAAGCACACGCTAGGATGTAACATGCAAATGGCAGGTCTTGCTAAATATCACTGAAGGCCACTATTAGAAATATTCCGTTCTGCATTTGAAATAAGGAGTTTGGACCCCAGAGTTCGGTCAAACCCCTTCCCTCACCACCGCCAAGGGATTTACTGTAAGTGTGCGCCATTATGCTTTTACGCAGGAGTTGAAGAGCCTGTCAAGGTAAGACACAGTGTACTAAATCTACTAGGTTTTGATATTACAGTTGGGCAGAACACCCTGGGGCCCAAGAGCCGCATCTATTTTGCCTGCTTAATACAAAACAACACAGTCTGTCGTCCGTGAAAGAGATCTCCGATTCAACGCTATCAAACAGCGCCCGTTCATTCCTGCAGCAGGTCTCAGGAACAAAGGTCTGCTGCTCTAGGGCTCAAGTTCATACATTAGACACCCGAGGCGCAGGTGTCGGGGGCTGCCGGGTCTTGCTGCTCCCGCTCTGCGGTCTGCGCAACGGACTCGGCAGCCGCCCCAGGGCAGTCATCTTTGGGCTCCTCGGGCGAGGACGTGGCAGGCTCCTGAGCAGGCTGGTCTTCCTCGGCAGATGGCAGCTCTTCTTCCCTGGCCTTGGTTTCTGCCGCGCAGCTGGGGACTGGCGTCTCCTTCCCACTTTCGGTTTTCTCCAGAGCGGCCTCCGGTTCTTTGGAAATGCACTCGGCATCCTCTGTGCCGTCCTCCACTTTGGCTCCTTCCTCCTGGTCTTCAGGCAGCTTGTCCTGCATTTTCATCCCGTCTCCGTTGGCCAGAGAGGCTTTGGCTGGGGACTTGAGATTCTGGGCAGCAGCTAAAATGTCAGCCTGCAGCTGCTTGGAGGAATCCACCGGCTCCTCGGACTGGGCATCGGAGGCCTTCTCAGGGACTTCGCTGAAGGCTTTGGCGCCGCCCGCTTTGTCGTTCTGATCCACGTACTTCTTCTTTGGAAAAGAAGATGGGTAGTACGCTGAGGCCTTGTGTTTCTGCCTGACTATGGCAGCTGCACATAAAATGAAGAGAAGCACAAAAACCAAGGACCCCACCACGATGAGCAGCAGCATGTATTCTTTCACAAAGTCCATGATCCCCGTGACAATGTCATTCGACTGCGAAGTGCCGTTAACGGAGGTCACCGTGATCCCATTGACCGTGGGGCTCACGCCCAAAGTCACGCTGGACGAGGAGGACATGGCAAAGGCCTCCTCGGTGTCCCCACTCCCTCCGTTGTCATTCATCACCGTCGTCTGCAAGTGCGTCGACCGCGTGGCACAAAGGGGCACCAGTAGGAGCAGGAGCCCGCAGAGGGTCACTGGGTTGGCCATCTCCCTACAGGGTGCACCCAGGACTCTGGAAAGGAAATGAGACAAGTTAGTGTCCTGCCCAGGACAAGGCTTGGGTGCAGATGGGAGCTGGCTGTGGAAAGGATGAGGCACACATGGAGGCCAAAGTTTGTCCTCATGGGTGACTTAGCCACGTTTCCTCAAGGGCGGAGGGTCAGGTCAGGGAGGTTGTCTGTTATAGCAGGTCTCACCCCAGCTCTCACTGACACCCTGAATAAGAGCTAAAAATGACCCCAAATCTGTTTAAGAGGCCTGTCTTATAGGTGCTCAGGCTCGCCTGCCTAAGCTGTGTGTAAACCAGTTTCTAGCAGTTTGGGGGCTTAGTGATAAAGGTCAATAACTGTTGACCTTTATCACTTTGCATGATCAAAATCCACAGTTGGAGCGGTGTAACAGGAAAGCAATGCAAATTAAAACATCTCTGAGTAGTGTTAGTTTAAGGCACTAAATGGACTTTAAAGCGGCGAGAAATCCCGGGTCATGCAAACACAAATGCAGGTGTCTCCACGAAACGGGAAATTTTGTTTAGTCTACACTCACCCGTTACAATGCTAAGTGGGCCTCCCAAAAAGAAACTGTGGCTCTGGTCTAATTTCAGAGACTTCCTGTGGCAATTTTTTGAAGAAAAACCACACCCAAACTCTCCAAAAAACCAAAGGGGCATAGAAATTAATCCTGTGTGACCGACCCCATGACGTGGCTGCTTGCTTGTAGAGAGGAACAGGGCTCATGCCCCATGCCGGGCTCAATGAATGTGACCCTCACCCTGAAGTTGGTCTTGGGTGCTCTCAGCGGAAGTGGCCAGGTAAAGGAGCTCACGAGTGGTAAGTGCTTTACACATCTGCCAGAGTTCATGGAAAATGTCTGGGCAGCAGCTGCACCCTCTGGACCCAACTTTCCCCCTACCTGGTCAGATGTCAGCTTTTTCAGCTTCCCTTCCCCAGCCCACAGCTCCTGCCTGCCCATCTTTTGGAGGGGATGAGGCCACTGCTGATGGTCCCAGAGGTCTTCCTCTGGCCCTAGGTCCCAGCATGGCTAGCTGCATATCAAACCTCTACTTATTCATGCTGAATAGCTGTTCCCCACCACTTGCCCAGCCCCTGGGAAGCCTCGTGTGCTGGGGGCAAACAACCAGCATAGTAGAAACTCAGCAGCGCATCGGGCGCAGGACACCTGCCGCCCGGTGAGAACCAATTCTGCAGCCACCTGCCGGCCACCACGGGGGAGTAGCGGGGTGGGCGCAGTCTCCTGAATGACTCCCTCTTGCCAAAACTTGTGTGTCCTCAGCAGGAGGGTGGCCGTGTCACAGGCGCCGGTGAGAAACCCGAGGGACGAGGAATGTCAAGACCACACACACAGATGGACCCACACAGCCACATCCACAGGCTGCAAACCCGAGCATTTTTCACCCCCATCTCGCTTCCTCCTCTAACACATGGAAACTTGGCCGGATGCCTCCGGCTCTCCCTGGGCTTGCAAAGAGGAGCATGCGCTGGCCTTTCAGACCGCACGCCCTGTTACTTTGCACTTCCCCAGCAAGTGTCACCTTTCCCCACTGCATGCCCTAGAGACACTAGGAAGCCCGTGGGGCACTTTGGATGGAGATTTTCCCAGGCTTTCCAGCACTGTGCCTTAGGTCCTGTAACCACACGGACCTCTGCTAGAAAACCAAGCCCCCAGCCGCCAGGGAAGTCGAACAGCTTGAGCAATGGCGGGCAGCAGCAGTACCGGATGCATCGTGTCAGGCTCCCTTGACAAGGGCTGGGAGCAAAGAGTTTTCACTTCAAGCTTCTTTTACTTAGTGAATTACTGTCTGGGTATTTAACGAGGGATCCGCCAGCGATGGGAACGGCTTTACGACTTGCAGGGTAATGTTGTGCAGCTGTCTCTCGCGACCATGTCACATGTTGCAGCAGCTGGAAAGCCGTTTCTGCTGGAAACCTGACTTGGCAGGGAATCACTTCAAGCACCAATGGCCCCTGTGTCTTACAACAGCGGTGGGCACTGGCAAACTATAGCGCGCACACACGTGTACGTGCACAGACAAGTAATTCCCTCTTCTAGGTATATTCCCTCGCTGGCAAACCCTGCTCAAGAGCATCAAGAGACCTTCAGGCCCCCCTGGGCTAATGCATGGGTTTCGACTTACTGCTCTGGCCCTGTAGCCTGCGTCCTATGCTGCTCCTCAACCCCGAGTCAGCTGCTCACTTGGAATATTTGCAATGAAATGCATCCTGAGCCATCTGCTACAGCCCTGCACAAACTCTGTGTCCCACTGAAAACCAGAAAAGTAGGGTTCACTTGGTGCTTGGACGCCCCACAGACTTGGAGCATGGATGAATGCCATCGTAGCATCTGATTCTCCTGCCATTTACTTTCCAGGAGTAACCCACCCTGCCACATAAGAAAGCCCACAGCTCTCAGAGCAAAGGGCTGTTCAGTGCGACTCAGGGTAGCAAAAGCAGAAAGGAATCTCACAAAGGAAGGCAGAACCATTTTCAGTTAATGAATATACAGACTATTATTCAGCTAATGAATATGAGGACTATTACAGTCTATTAACTATTGCATGGGTTATGGGGATTCAGAACCAATTTCTCTAAAGAAATTCATCAGATGTTTCCACTAAAGAGACATTTTGAAACAGTAAAAACACTAGTGATCCAATAAACACAGTGGGAGAGATAAGTTAGGGGTAGTGAAATGCAGACAGGACGTCAGCCAGAATCAGGGTTATTCATACAGGTTTGCTAGCAGGCCTCCGAGAGGAAGGAGGCACGTGTCACGTAGTCCAAACAGGCACAGCAGTGACCCGACAACCCCGTTTAAAAACTGGAAGGATGCCACTTGGGACATGAGCTTTCCGAACGCTCAACAGCGGTCAGACTCTTTTAGGCACCGAATGATTTTCTGCGTTTCGCTCCTTCAACACCGTGCAAAACAAACCCGGACTTTGCTTGAGATTTTATGATCATAAAGCAGCGCCATAAAGTGCATATTTCCATCTGTGTTGTACTGACAGACTTTAAAAATAGATGGAAAACAGATGAAGGGCTTTTTCTTTCTTTTTTTTCTGCACTGCAATGCTGGGTTGGACGTGCCGAGCACTGAGATTCTGGCACGAGTAAAATTAGTTTGGCTGATTAATAAATTCCTGAAAATTGAGGTTTACAATGGAAACTTTGACACAGACTGAACTCCAGAAGGGCAAGCTGCCAGCTCTGGGGACGCATCACATCATTTGCTAGCACTTAGAGCCACGTGCCTAACCACACCGACGGTTTAAACTTTCTCTCCTTTAAGCCTTGTTAAGAGCCGATGCCCCTAACGATTTCACCCGGCTCCCCTCCGAATGCTATTGCTTCTGATCAGCTCCAGACCAGCCCCTTCCCACCCGCATTTATATTATCTGCAGCAACTACCTTAATGGCTTCTTCGAGTCCTGGCTTCTCCCGCGAGCGTCCTCAAGGAAAGCAGTTAATGCCAATTGTGACAGCGGTTTGCGTTACTTGGAGACCTCTCTCCTTGGTCTTGCTTCAAAACTGCCCACATGCTGCCTGCCCGCACCTACCGGGCCTGCCTACCTTGAAGCAAGCGTGCTGGTCTCAATAATAGGAGTGGTTCCCTGAATTGAGACCACTGAGCAAATGAAGTGAGTCTATTCCATCATTCATAGCCTCCTGCGCAGGTCTGGGATGACAAACACGCTTCGGCTCCATGTCTGCGAGAAGCAGGGATGCGAGTGCAAAGAAGCTTCGTCTTTTGAAGTACTTGCTAAGAAGCTGCTAGAGGGGCATCATGCCTGCAATATGAGAGCCTGGGGCTGTCCAGGTTTTGCAGTGTGACTCACACCGGGCTCAGGAAGAGAGAGAAGAGCAACAAAAGGAAACACGATGCGAAAACACAGCCATCATATTAAGCGGCACATGAAGGCTCTTCGTTGCAAGATGCAAGATGCACAGATGCCATCAGCTTCAGGCAACTTGGTGATATAAGAGGAGTCACAGATGGGTGCACCTCCTGGGCCAAAACCCCAGGCCACAAGAAACAGAACAACCGAGAGTATAACTGGAGGGTGGAGGAACGAAAGGAAAGTAGGAGTCGCCTCCCAGTTGAAAATCTGCTCCTGGTACAACAGTTTGGGATTCCCTGTTAGATGGCAATGCAAGTCTGGGGTGTCGTTTTACCGGACGACACAACGGAGTAGCTCAGACTGCAGCTATGCCGGGCCGGAGGCTTTGCCAAAGTCATGCAGACATTGGCCATGAGTAAGCTGATTCAACATGAGGATGCACACAGGTTCCTCTCGCTACTCCCACCTGTGCCTTGGCCGCTTCTCAACTTGCAGGATTTGCAGGGCACAACAGCAGGACCCTCGGACCCTGTTAGGCTGTCCAGCGCTCCAGGACACTGCGGTCACCCACACCGGTGCCTGAGAGCGATGGAGAGAGATCTGCAGACCCATCGCCACCAATGCAGTGACCCAGAGCTTCACAGTGACCAGCACTTCAGAGGGCTCAGACTGGCACCCACTGGGACACAGGGAAAGACAAGCTCTTAGCTCGCATGACCTTCACAATGAAGAAGATATCTGGGGGCAGGCAGCACTGAAAACAACTTGTCATCATGACTGCTTACATATGTAGGCCCAGCCGTGGCCATGGGACCAGCTGCCTATGACCTGCTGTCTTGGCCCTGGATGGTTCAACAAGGGGAGCTACCAGACCACCCGGTACCTACAGGGAAAAAGTGTGAACCCAAAACCAAATCCCATTCTAGACAACTCTTGTCTGCTCCCTGTACATTTTATGGCCCCCATTGGGTGCCAAGGGGTAGAGTAAAGCAATGATCAGATCTGTTCTCTGCTTTATGGCTGACTCACTGCACTGTAGGATGTCTGCACTATACCAGTAGGATGGGTTGGATGGGTTCAGGGTATTCATAAGGAGGAATGATTCAGTTCTGGCCTGGCTGGATACCAAGTGTCATGACTGTCTGCTGGCCATTGGGAAAAGTTGTGTGGGGAAGAGAGGAAGGGAGACAAGCTTGTGTCTGTGTTTTGCAGCCTGGTGCTGCTGCATTGTATCATTACCATTTGCTGGTTTCCTGTTCCCTCCTCACGTGCCCAGCAAGTATGCATGGAAATATCCAGCGTGGCACACTGCACCTTGGCTCCTTTTTTTGTTTTTTGCAGTCTTCATGTACCCCAGGCAACAGGCTTTAATCTTCAGCAGGAAAAAGACCCAGGGCACCACATGTATGTTCTCACATGCCCGGCAGCGCGGGCTCCAGGACACTAGAGAGACAAGAGGGGCATGGGTTGGACTGGCATGGGCATCTCAAGCTGCCTTCAGGGAAACCACAGTGAAGAGGGTGGTTTCTCACAGGGTGAGGACACTTCAGTCTTGATCTCCCTTCTCCTCTCCTCTGAAGGGTGCCCAAGGCACCCTCAAGTGCGAGTCTTCTCCCAGCCAGCCCAGCACCCCCGCGGTCCAGTCATCCCTACTCCCCTTGAGCGATTTCTCCAGTGCCTTTCCTCAGGTGTCAGTGACCCTGAGGGGTGGGGGATGTGAGGAGAAGAAAGCAACCCAGCCCGAGAGGTCACCTTTTTGGCCTAGATTAAGGAGGGTCTAAGGGTTAGAGGGTTTGGTCTGGGTGATATTCCCCTGTCCTGACTCAGATGTTTCATGTGACCCTGAGCAAGCTGCTCCATCTCTATGCCATCATCAGCAATCCCTCAGTTTGAGGCTGATTACTACCATAGTTTAGATTATGGTTGTATGGGATGGTTTGGATAGGGCTGATCCTGCCATAGGCAGGGGCTGGACTAGATGGGCTCATGTACACACCACGATGTTTGCCCTTTCATGAACTGCAACACTTTAAAAGTCTTTCTTGTGCATTAAACTAAAACTTCTTGGATATAGTTTAGTTTGACTCTGGAGGTCCCTTCCAGCCCCACTTCTCTATGACGTGGCTCACTGATGGACCTTGGGGTGACTTAAGAGCCCAATCCTTGAGCCACAGACCCGTCCACAGAAGTTGCTGGTCTCCTTCTCTGCATAGCCCAGCCCCTGAGCTCCAAAATGGAAAGATCAGCACCTCCTCACGTCAGATGTGGGGGGTGGGGGGAGGGATTCACAAAGAGAAGGGCATGACAGATGACGTTGGAAGGTGCCATGTCACTTACTGTGGGCTAGTTCCTTCTCTACCAAGACCCTGAGCAGGATGTGACACAGGGAAAGCTCACCTCTTGGGGCTTATCCAGATGCACGTCTGGGTGGCAAACGCACCCTCGGCTTTGCATTCCTCCCCTGGCCTATGAGGGGCCCTCACAACCCAGCTGCAGCTGCATTTCGGTTGCATCTCCTTTCCCTCTCCCCAGAGAGTCATTTTAACCAAATTTTGCTGATTTTAAAGGAGGAAATTACAATTAAAACAAATGAAGCTACCCAGAAGTAAAGCCATCATTTTCCTAACTCTGTCGCCACTAGAAATCTGGTTTCCATTATAACACAGAAAAAAAAAAAAAGTCTCCAGCCTCCCCCGTGTGGGGAGTTCACTTCTTGACAAAGAGGCTTTGCAGGGAGAAGACAGGGAAGGCAGGGCAGGCTGGTGTGGATACCCTCGTATGTATTTGAAGTAAAGCTCAAGCTGCACAATTTGGATTGAGGTCCAAATTTTCCAGGCATGCCCAGACGCTAAGAGCCAGGGTTTCAGTTTGGGGCTCAGAGTTTGTGTCGGCTCCCAGAGTAACTCACTGCTCTCATGGGCTCATGACTCCATATTACTTAGATTGCCATGATTTAGTTTGCAAATCCTTTGTTTTGCAACTCAAAGCTGGTGGGGCTTGGTCAACTCATCCCATCCTCTTCTCTCTCCACTTCCTCCACCCCTGCTTTACAAGGGATCCATGCACCCCTGGAGTGCACAGGACAAGGGAGAAGCAGGAGACTGGAGGAGATTGGGGAGATCATAAATAATGCAGCATTGTAAGAGGCTGAGCAAAACGTACCTCGTTAAAGACCGAGCGGCCAGCCTGTGTTGGAACGATAAAACCAGACAGCCCTCGGACTCTGGAGGGCCTTGCATCTGCCGCTTTTCTCCCTGGTTGGCCCCATTTCCACGGGCCAGGGATATTCTGCTCTGTAAATCCTAGGGCAGATTTCTGCAAGACCTCATTCAGGCAAAGCTCCTGCCAGCTTCACCAGGCTCCTGGAGCCCAAGAGCCCCTCTCCGCTGAAGCCCCTGGAAGCCTGGTGCCATGGCCAGAAGAGTGCACAAGGACAGTGGGATGTCAGCCCTTCTGGGCGGCCAGGCTTGAAGGCAAACTCGAGCTACAAAGGCAGCTGTGGTCTGTTGCAGCCACTGAAGCACCGTGCAAAGAGAATGCCCTTCGTCTCCTCCCGCCACCTTTAAACCAGCATCAGAGTCCGACCGGTTAACACGGCACAGCAGGAGGACATGGGGAAGCTGTCAATATTCCCCCTCTTTTCCTCCCACGCAGAAACCTGCCTGCACCCAAAGCACTCCAGTGTTGCCCCTTCCATCCTGCCCCTCCGCACCTGTGCCACTGTCCCACCACCGCAGGGGGCCCAGGGCAGACAGGCTGCACTCCCCAGACCCTGGGGGCATTTCCCCTGCAGCTTTCCTCCTTCAGTACCAGCACAAGGTACCCTCATGTCTCTCTAATCACTCAGGACAACCATGAACACCTCCTCCCTAAACACATCCCCCGCAAACCTCCCCATACCCCAAAACATCTCCCCTAGCACATCATGCAAAAGCATCCTTTAGCTCCCTCTCCCGTGCACCCCCACACACAGCCCTTGCCCTCGGGAAGTTCATCCCAACAGGACGCCCCTGAACTTCTCCTCCTACGGGCTGAGACCTCCACTGCCGGGATCCGTCCCTTTTTGGCTCTCGCTGTATTTCTCAAGCCAAAATCTTTCTGTGGGTGCAAGGGACCTGACCCCAAAGAGAAGTCGACCACGCTACCCACGTGCTACTGTAGGAGCACGCTGCACAGTGCTCAAATGCTCGCCTGGAGGCAAAGCCCTGGGGGGAAGAGACGTGCGTGTCGGGGTGCGGGGGGTCCCAATAAATAAAATCCAGAGGGACACAAAGAAGGGGGCCATGCTGGAGGTAAAGGAACAGCAAGGAGTTTTAAAAAGAAGCCAGGAGGCATTTGGGGAAGGAAGGGAGGGGGGCTGAACCGCAATTCTGATTTCAAAGAAATATAAAAGACATGAAGCATTCATTCCTGGGCTGGGGGGAGGCATGGACTTACCAGCTGGGGGCTAGGCAGACGTGCGCGTCTCCCAGCACCCTCCCGTCGGAGGGATCCGTGCGCAGGGCGTGCAGGACCGTAAGAAGTGATGGGGGGTGGGGGGGAGTTTAAAAGTTAGCTTGTCCTGTGCTCCTTGGTCCTTGCCCAGTTTCTTCTGTCTCCTTGGGACTGTGTATGTGCGAGCCCAGCCTCCTCCTCCGCCTCCCGCTCCCCAGCCTTGAGCTCACTGGCTATGATTGCTGCTGACCAACTTGTTTTCATTAGGGCTGGTTTCATGTGGGAACGGCGGAGGGAGCGGAGTGGGGGCCGGGAGACCCCCAGTGCCTCCCCCCCACCCCTCCTGCAAGCAGCTCCCTCCAAGCTTGGGCTTTCACTCCAACATCTGCAGAAGGGGAGGGTGGGAGCCGTTGTGGAGGGACCCTCAAGGAGCTTTGCTTTATTGCAGATCTGTCAAAGGCAAAAGCCCATCAAAGCGGCAGCCACAGACAAAAGCAATGGGGGGAAACTTTTTTGTCTTTAATTCCTTCCAGCAAATATATCTCTCCCTTAGTTCCCCTTCATTAACCACAACAATATCACAGGAATCAAATGCCTCTTAAAGGCACCACTTATCGAGCAGCTCCAAGAGCCCCCGGGAGTGGCGGTGGGGGCTGGTTACAAAGGCTCTGCTACCTGCAGCGATGGAATAAAATACAACTGGGGGTGCCGTGCTCCCGGCTCTCCATGCGGCCTGGCAAAGCAGCAGCAGGAGGATGCAGAGTCTCCGAGGGAGGCTGAGCACGTTGCCTCCTACCCTGGAGCCCGGCGTCACCATTGTGGGTGCCCTATGCCTACGCGGAAGGGCAAAACGGGGGAGGTATCTGTGGGAGGGGAGACCCCCCCCCAAGCCTGCAGGAGGTCAAGGCCATTGCACCCTCCACTCCCTGCGGGGCTGAGACCAGTGGCCTGGCCCAGCTGACACCTCTGGAGACCCTCCCAGAAACCTCGACCACCTGCCGACGCACCCCCCCGGCACGGTAAAACGTAGGCAAAAACGCCCCTGCTCCATGGACTTGGCCCTTTCCAGCCTCAACGCTCCTTGAAGCAGCCATTTCGCTGCATCTCTCAGGCCCTCGCACCCCAAGAGTTTCCCACCCTTCGCTGGCCCTCGGAGAGGATTTGCCCCTTGGTAAGCAGGCCAACCCTACGCGGTCGTCCTCCCAGCCCAGGCAACGACAGGGTAGGTGCCGAGAGGTCCCAGCCCTCCCACAGCGCTCGGGGAAGTCCGTGGAAGTTTGCTGGCGTAAGCAGCTCTGAAGCCGAGCCCGGCTCCATACGGGGTCCTTTTGGCGGCTTCAGCTGCAGAGAGCAAAGCAGAGCCAAGCATCTGGCTTGAGGACACCCGAGCGAGGCTGGCTCTGACCTGAGCTGCCAAGAGGGAAGGTCGACATTTGCCCTGCTGAGCCAGCTTGCATCATGTATGATTTCAGCACCGGTGGGCTTGCTGGCTGCCCCTAACAGGGCGCAGCACAAAGCGCCTCTGGAGTGAGCTGGGAAACGTCACGAGAGCTGCCCAGTGCCACGAGGCAGCGCGCCAGCCCAGGCCTTGACCCACATTGCTCCCAAAGGGCCCCCAGCAGAGTTGGGATGGAGGGAGACGTTGCATGGCATGGGGGGAGCCTCCTCAAGCACCCGGCTTGCAACCAGCACCAATGATCAGCCCAAATCAAGGGGGCGTGCACTAAAAAAGCAAAGGGGCCTTGACTTCTTCCATCCCCGCTCCTAGGAAAACTCCCTCTGATCCCAGCGCAACAAGGCTCCCAACACCTTTATTCCCAGAGGATGTTTCCCAAAAGCCCCCAAGGAACGTGCATTACTCACCGCTCCCTGCTCCAGCTAAAGGCACAAACTGGAAAAGGGGGGTGCCGAAATGGGGACTTGTGGGGCTTGGCCTCTTCCCACCCAGTCAGTGGCAAAACCAATGTGGAACAAGGCCCGTATTCTGCTCCGTTTCCACAGGGGGACATACTGAGCCCACCCGTGGCATCCTACGGGGCGAGCTCATTCAAGCTCATTGCTACCCAGGTAATTGCTGGGCTTCTTGGACTAACGACCCAACAGGGCGCTATGAGGGTTGCAAGCTCATGCGCTTGCCCCACATGCGTGTTGGTTTGGCCCCTGGCAAAGTGACATGTTTGCAAAAGAAGAAAGCCCTTGATCCATTATAAAATTGGGCTTTTCTCCCTTTGATGCATGAGCTTATTAGGAGAAACTGCCCGTTAGGATTTAACAGGCTGTTTAGTCCTCGGGAGTCCTTTGGACATAAGTCACTCGGCGCAGAAACGCATGTTCACAAAGGCCAAAATACTAATGAGCCCATGAGCATATGAAGACTGCATGGCCTATGTATGTCGCTTAGCCCAAGTCGCCTTAAACCCAGCGTCAAAAGGACAATTGCAGCATTGGGCTACGAAGCAGGACTGCTTGCTTTGGGTTTTAACGCGGGGCGAATTTCCTTCCCAACAACTCCACGTCTTTGCTATAAACAAGGCAGTAATATAACAACACACCACGCATTTCTCCTCTGTCCCGGGCAATAAGTGCAACTCCTTGAGACATGTTCTCTCCCTACCAGGGTGACCTCATCCACTTAGCATTTTCATTTTGAGCTTTTTCCCAGTGCTTTTGAAACAAAGCCCCTAAAACACTGTTGATAAAACACAGAAACCTTCACCAACCCTGCGTGCATAACACTGGCTTGATTCCCCCTCGTTTCCGCTCCCCCCCCCGCAAGAAACTGAGTCCCGGTGCTTTCTCGAGGGCGGCCGGGCTGTGAGAACGCCTCGCGACATGACGCACATGGCACGGCGAGGGCGACCGGGGATGGAAACACGAGCACTTTCACCCTCGACCTTCCCGCCGTTCCCCCACTCGCTTGGAATTCGTGCAGCTCCGTCTCGGGATCCCGGGGGAAGGCAAAGGAAAACCGTCGGGTCTCGGATTTCACCCACATTGCCAAACAGCATCCAAGTCATTGTTTTCAGAAATAATTCGTCAATCGTGGGGCCATCCCGTTAGCGTGTCCAGCAACCAATTTGCCATGGCTGTTGAGAACGTCCCTCTACATGTGACATGGCTGGGCCTGGACTGTACAGGAGGAGGAAGAAAGAAACGCGAAAGAAAGCTGGAGAGGAGGAAGGTTGCCGCGGAGGGGTTTCTGAGCGGGCTTGGCAGGACACCAAAAATCACAAGGCCTCTGCTTCCAAAAATTTATTGTTAGGAATTTGCTCCTAGAGCCCCGTGGGACACAAGGGGGTAAACGGGCTGGCTTAGCTTCCTGGTAGCAGCCAAAGAAAGTACAGCAAAGATGCCAGAGTTTTGCAAGAGCGTTAGGCACATCTAGGCGGCATTGGGACGATTTTGGTCCATCCTTCATGGACAGCACAGCTCACAGCTACCACTCCTGAAAGGCCCCTGATCTATCCCTTGGAGAAGTGTTTTAATTGGGGAGCCTCTGGTCTCCCAAGTCTGGCCCCCGATGATTAGCCCATAAAAACCAACCCCGTGGCGCGGGTCAATCTGACCTACAACGCGTTCCAAGATGGCAGAGCTGCTCTGGGCAAAGAGGACTTGTCAAGTTTCTTAAAGAAACCCAGGACTAGGAAACCCCCGAACTGAAGTAGCCTGGAGCGAGCCCATCTCCCTGCTAAGTGCCAGGGGCTGTGCTGCCTGCTATAGCAACCCGCAGCCACGCGCCCGGGAATGCCACCGTTGCCATGGAAAATGCCAGCTGCCATCCCAGCCCCGTGATCCGGGACGAACAGCGACTCTGCTCTGCAGTGTCCGAGCACCGCGCACCCCAGCTGGAAGCACGGAGGAAGGGAAGGAAGGTCTTTGTATCGGGCCGGACACCTGGGTCCCGTTCCCGACTGCATCACGGGGCTGTTGGGTGCGGCTTTTCCCCTCCGCTTCCCTGTTGATAAAACTGGGATAAAAATTAATTACTGTTCTCACTTAGAGGACTCAGTGGGCATCCCCGTTAGTGCTTAGAGGGATGCTAGGTACCATCAAGAAGCCATTGGGTCTGCTGATCTCCCTCTCTCCATCCAGGTCCCTCTGTAAAGCTCACATCGTGTCTGCAGCGGCCAACTCCACAGCACCAGGTATACGTAGATCAGCAGGACGCCACGAAACTGTGCCGAGCGCCTGCCCAATCGCACTCTTGAAGCCCGCGTCCCCCAGCACGAGTGGATTGCTGCCTCGGCTCGTCACTGCCGGCCTGTCTACAGGGTTAGGGGAGGCAGAGGAAGTGTATGAAATGTGGCAGTGTCTTCCTCTCCACTAGTCTCTGAGATGGTTTATGGCCCATGGAGGGCACAAATTTCATTGCATTCAGCAGGGGAAACCAAACAGTGTCCTGGCAAAGGCAGAACCATAGAAAATGAGGGCTGGAAGGGACCTCAGGAGGTCACATCTAATCCATCCCTCTGCTCAAAATAGGATCATCCCCAACTAGATCATCCCAGCCAAAGCTTTGTCTTGCCAGGTTTTGAAACCCTCCATGGATGGAGAGTCCACCACCCCTCTGGCTCACCTGTTCCAGTGCTTCCCCTACCCTCCTAGTGAGAAAATCCTTCCTAATATCCAACCTCAACTTCCCTTCCTGCAACTGGAGAGCATTGCTCCTTGTTCTGTCAAGACCTCCCGCAGCATCGCAGACTGGGCAGCAACTGCACCCACGGGACCTTAATTCTGGCAAAATCTGATCACAACTTCTCATTGCAAAATGCTAATAACTCGGGGTTGTCATACTCTCTGCCCCATTCTGCTCTCCTTGCGGGTTAATTCCACGGCCACTTTCTCCCAGCATAAACCCTAGCATTACTCCAGGGTAAAATTAGGACTTACTCAACAGTCTCTGCCCAAAAAAAGGCTCAGAACAAAGGGTTGGAAAGTTGTGACATTTGCTTAACTTGCAAGGAACAGTTGAGACAATTGCAAAACCTCTTGGGTTCCCAGGGCTTTGATCAAATTAGCCAGGCACTAAATGAAATGGCGGCTCTGGTGTTTTGAACTACATATCTAAAGGCTGTTTAGGAAGGGCTGTCACTCGAAGCTTGTAAAGCAAGCAAGAGGGCAGGCCTCTGTAGAAGGGGACTCTGGAGCCAAGCATTAGCCAGCAAGGGGAATTCTCTCTTTCCCTTGGCGCATCCATCTTTTGCCTCTCTTCCCCCTTTCATCTCCTGAATGAAAAGCCTTTGCTTTCCTGCCTACTGCTCCGAGGCTGGGAACGCA